CACACACACACACACACACACACACACACACACACACAAACTAAGGATAATCCTGATTCTGCATGGCTTTTATAAACAGCATGTAAAAACCCAAAAGCCATTGACGATGAGGACACCCAAAGCCAATTCTTGATTTGCTTATGTACAGACATATGGAAACAAAGAATTATATAGAAACACACACAAATGGATCTACACACTAAATAATTACACACACACATGCATACAAATATTGAAGAGATGTGCCCAAGTAAATAAAATCTCCAAATTTAACAGCTGGCTTGACAGCTGATTGGTCCAGAAACCCCGCATCCAAAAATGTTTTGCATTACAATCTATTGTGGACATTCAACAGTACACGCAGATAAAATTTCAGGACAATGCTAATTTAATATCCTATACGCTGATGACAAAAACTGGTAGATTTCTCTGAATGTCTGCAATTCAGACAGATTAAAAAAAGTCAACAGACAGGGAAAAAAATCAATTCTTTTGTCGCAGCAGCTTCAAAATAATCAATGGCAATAATCTAGGGTTCCTTACGCCGGATGCGCAGGCTGAAATACATACATGCACTAAGCGCACAGTGAGCATACACATGTCTCCCACTAAGAAAGCACTAAGCAAGAGGAGCAGCAGACACAATGGACTGTTTAAGTATGCGGAAAACTTTATGCCTGGGTGGAAGAGGAGCTTTGAAGAAATCCGCTGAGGGACAACCAACCTCCCCCTGAACTGAGCCTGTACCTCCTCATCAGAGAGGGAGAGAGAGGCATGGGGAGTGGTGTGTGTGTGGAGGGGGGGCAGTGGGGGAAGTGGTACTGGGGGGTGTAGAGACAGAAAGAGATGGAGAGAGAAGAGTTGGAAGGCCAGGAAAAGGGGCAGAAACAAGGTGTGCTCGTCTAATTCAGAGCATTGTCCACAATTGCTTGTGGTTGGCTGATGTGTGGAAGTCCCTAACCGGTAGCAGTCACGTTGCTCTGAAACACACCACAAACACACACACACCGCACATGCACACTGCTTATTCATACAAACACACTGTTCAGTAGGCACCGTGCTTAACTCCCAGTATGACCTTCATTGAGATGGATTGCATGAAAAATGTAATGACTTTCCTGAGAGAAAAACCACAGGCCAAATCAGCTTTGCATTGCATAATAATGCTGGACTTGGTAATCAATAACACAAACACACATCCATAATGGAGTGCACAGTCTGCACATGGAGAAAATGTCTCAGCAGAGGCCAACCACATCACAATGGATGGAGGAAACCACCAGTGGAGGGGCTGTGCGATGCATAAACAAGGAGGTATTGACGATAAATGCCTGCAACCATTTCCACCCATCAGACACTTTTCTAAGCTAACAGCTTAAGTCTGGAAACAACATGCAACTCTGAAAAGCTTTTCGCACGCCCAAAACGTTCATCTCAGGGTTATCCTTGGCCCCCGAGTAAGTAGCTGTCCCGAACCTAATTTGACCCAATTTTACACTCTTGGCTAAGTTATCTATTGTTCACACAGCAAAGATGATGCTAATTTTGGCCTAGAGCAAAGCGATCTCTGCTCTTTATGAATGAATGGTAGCTGTGTTTGCTTTGGAGCCAAAAACATACAACAGTTTTATCAACTTTCTCTGGTTCCATAGCAAAAAATGTATCTTACTGACCAGACCTTCTTTGAACCTAGTGAAACGCAGCACTAGAAACAATCATATCTGTACCCTCATTCCTTGTTTTTTCAGCCTATAAGCCTTATTGTTTCAGACCTCAAATCCGCTGTTTCCTATGCCCTACCCCAGAATGGTTTTGGGTTACAAAGAAAAACAGACAGCAACATGCCAAATGGAATCTATACTCTGTCAGATTTTCGCTGTGAGTTCAGGTTGCTGATGGTTGTTTTTTGGGCTTTTTTTTTTTGTTACTTCCCAGTGTCACAGTTTTAGGATCCCATAATGAAAAGCTGCCATTGTGTTTGTTTACCTCCTCTTCATCTCTCAATGTGACATTAGTTAGAGATGAGTCACCAGCCACGAAAAAAACAAAAACACTGTTCATCTTTCTGTCACAGATATTTCCCTCTTGAGTGTGTCTCATTCTCACCTCGTTGGTGTTCCAGCGATGGCGCTCCTTGGGCAGAGAGGAACATTTGGGTAGACACTCTAGCAGCTTCTTAGGAAGGTAAATCTTCAACTGGCCGGGCTCATCTGAGGTAGGGAAGAAAAAAAAGAAGAAGATTAAACAGGATAAATGACAGACGAGTAGAAAGAGAGGACTAATTGCACATTAGACACAAAGACACCTTGAGCAGAATAGCAGAATTCTTGGATATGGCAAAGGAAAATTATGACTTAAAATTATAAGTACAATTTTAAAGGTTTGATGTGAGAGATGTGTTCTGTCCATCTTGTACTTGAGTGGGATATTTGAGATTTATCAGGAATATTTTTGGCATAGCAGTGAAAAGAAATGTCTGCAAGAAAGTCTGAATGAGAAACTGATGAAGTTGGGTTTAATATTTCCACATCATCTTTATGTCACTGGGCCTTAATATAGCTTATTATCTATGTGTGATTCAAAGTGCTACACATGAAAAGGAGTACAGAAGTCCTCCAATCGAGGTAATCAAGTTAACAATAGCTAAGCGTGCAGAGGGAGTGGCGGCTGGGTTACTTTTGGACCGCAAGTGAAGATGCACCTGGGGCCCACCCACAAACAGATTTAGATAAAGAAGAATCCATTATAATACATTATCAGTGCATTTGGGGTTGATAACAATCACAGCTAATCACAGGGGCATTACTTATCCCCATTAAAAGCAATGCTTTTCCCACAGTGTTACACACACAGTTTGGTAATGAAGTGGAGAACCCAGAATAGCTCTCCCTGTGATTTAACTAATATTCTTGTACAGGAGGCAGGGTGACGCGCGAGTAAGCAGGATCAGACCATGTACATACACATAGGGTAATGCGTCTATGTTAATCTGTTCAATAGAAATCTCGGTATTTCTAGTGTTACTAAACACTAGATAAACAAAATGCCCACTACTGAAATTTAGACCTTATTTTACTATAGTGCACATAATCTCTGCCTGTCTGTCTGCAAACTCCTACACCGTCAGGACATGAGCAATCACACTTGGCATATAGGTCCCTGAAGGGTTCACTAACCAACAGCTAGTCATTACAATAAAACCACTGTATTATTTTAATTTCACAATAAATTCTACCTTATCAATATTGAATATATTTATTACTAATATGCCCAAATTGTGACAGTATCAACAAACTGAAACAGTAAGTTTTGAAGTCAAGTTTACTATACTCTGTGATTGTATGAACTGGCATATACTAGTTAAAAGATGCCAAAATAGAATTTTATTAAAATGCTAGCCATATTTCTTCGCCTCTGGTTACAACCTCTTTGAGAAAATGTGTAAAAACTCTCGACAAAAAAAACATTGCAGGTTAATTTTGTTGTGTGTTTATTTATTCATCATCCACCACCCTTACATGAGTGAAAATTCAGAAATAAAAGCTTCTAAACCCAAGTGCCTTTTTTAAAGGAATTATGGATGCTACCTTCTTTGCTGATTGGCGGATGGCAGTCAACGAGGTGAATATCAAATCAAATCAAATCAAAATTTATTTATATAGCACGTATTAAAACAACAGTGTTGACCATAGTGCTTCACAGTCAGTAAAAGCATGAGACAATTAAAACAAACAATAAAAGAGGACAACAAACAATAGGTAACAACACAACAAGCTAGACCAGCCAACTAGACAGAATCAAAAGCCAAAGTAAAAAAATACGTTTTAAGACGTGATTTAAAAGACTGGATCGACTCGGCAGTACGAATATGAACAGGGAGATTATTCCAGAGTCTAGGTGCCACGGATGCAAAGGCCCGGTCACCGCTCGACTTCATTCGAGTCCTAGGTTGTGCTAGGAGCCTGTGATTGAACGATCTAAGTGCTCTGTTGGGATTGTATGAGTGGAGTAGTTCAGAAAGATAGCTGGACGCTAAATTATTCAGAATATTAAAAGTGAACAAAAGAATTTTAAAAATCTATATGATATTTAACAGGGAGCCAATGTAATTGGGCTAAAATTGGAGTTATGTGGAGTAATATAAGGCTATATTTGTGTTAGGCTGATGAATCTTTACTGAATTCAAAATAGACACTGTAGTTTATTTTGAGTCAGTCCCACATACATTGTTTTTCTGAGCAAAAATAGCCCCCAAATGTTCACTGTTTTCTCCTGACTAATGTTTTCTAAAAACTACAGGGCCAAGCTTTTTTTTTTAGAAAATTGCTCTGCTTTTTTCTTTTTTTCTTTTTTTTTACATAACAATATAATTGTGGCTCGTTTTCAAACATTTACGTAATTAGCAGAGGAACCAAGGGGCTGAGAGCCACAGACAGTTATACCTTATGCAGTATACAGTATAATTAATGTTGTGGAGGGCGTTATATGAGATCGCCACGGCAGAAATAAAGTCATATTTGACAGCAAAGCTGATTGTTGGTGTTGAATTACCAGTGAAACTACCCCTACTGTGCTTCTCCTCCTACTGCTGTGCACGGAGAATCTCCAAAATACCAAATAGGTGCAGGGAAGGTAAATAAATAAATAAAATAAAATCCACCAAGCCTCAGCCTCAGGAAAATACCACCTCACCAGTGTGTCCACACAAAGACAGACCCCCTGTTATGTGTTTGTGAGTGTGTTCCCAACGGGTGTGCTTCTCAGAAGTCAAAGCGAGCAAGCACTCAAAGGTTATTGATAAGCATTTGAGTAGAGGGCGTCCATTCATGACTCCCCTGGGAAGATAGGAATTATACTCTACCTGAGGGAAGATGACAGAGCAAGAGAAAAAGACAGATAGGTAAGGTGGGAGGGTCAGCATAGGATACAGAGAGAGGCAGGATGACAAGGAGCCAGAAAGATGGTGTTAATGAAGAAGAAGAAAAAGAAATTTGGGAGACTGGAACAAGCTAACACAAAGATGCAAAGATGAAGAAGAAGAATTGCTGTAGCAGGACAGGGGAAGGGGCTATCTGTGTGTGTGTGTGTGTGAGTGTGTGTGTGAGTGTAAGTAGCTATCTGAGCATGTGTGTGTGTGTTTGTGTCAGTAGGAAGTGTGTTCAGGCACGTATGCTCCCCCTAATCAATTATGCATTTATTAATAGAAGGCCTGAGAAGACAGAATTTCAAACAGCTGAACTGTGCAGCAGCTTAGTTAAACAGCTGAATGGTGCAGCTTAGTTAAAGCCTAATTTCTTTTTTAGCAGCACTCCAGCCTCTCTGCTATGAATGCCAATCAGCGTTTAGACCCCACCCCTCCTGGCTATAACCCCCTCCCTTCCTCTGCTGTTCTGAAGAATTCTCATCAGAGCCTCGCCTTTGAAATGTACCAGAACCACCACATCAAACAAGTCCGTTGCACATGCGCAGGCACACATACACACACAAACACGCACGCACGCATACACATATGCATGCTCATACATACAAACAGACACATACAGCAGTGCCTGCTGATCAAAGAACACACATCACAGTATTTGTCCCAGAGTGACTTCTTCTTTTTTTTTTCTAAACGAGTGACCTTGGCACCCAAACCCCTTTCAAAGCACACCTTCATGGACACAACCATCATCTTAACCTGTCCTCGCATTTACTCTCCCTGCTGACGAGGAACGGAGGACCAACTTTGCAGATTTGTTGAATGCTGATGAGCTTTTACACCCCAAAGAGTTGTATCTTGTATTTCTAACAATCCTGAACTAGAGAATGCGTCCCTGTTTTGAAAAGATTCAGCCTCAGTGCTGTTGCAATCGTCCTTTCCATCTGCTCCAAATGACTCTCGGTGGAGCCATACTATTGTGTGACATGGGGCAAAAACTTGTCTTTTGTTTTCTGGCTACCCAGGAAAATGAAGCATCCTGAAACCCAAGGAATGCACATCTAAATATGAAAATCCGACGCTGTTCGCCTTTACATTTGTATTTAAAATCATAAAACACTTTCAATACCTGCATTGCTTCGTGCGAGTCCCTCAGCAGCACGCCACAAATTCTGGGTGTACACAGATCACTCACTCACTTGCTAATCTAGTAAAAACGAGTCCAAAAGAGTGACAATGCCTGAATGCTAATGTGAAACTGATGGCTCATTAAGTCATATAGAGGTATGTGAGCTAAAGACCGAAAATGTTCGACCAAAGTGAAACATTGCTTTGGGTACGCTATCAAATGCCACCATTTAGACTGGAATCACACAGAAGAGCGGCCTCTGACTGATGAATATTTTACCTCATAAAACTGTCATCTCCATATTTAACACAGAAACAAGCCAATGCCCTTGTGAGATGGCTGTCAGTTAATTATAAAACTCTCCTCAGTAAAGAGAGAGAAAAACGCTCCAAATGCAACTCTTAACTCTCCCCCTACTGATATTAGGAGGCGTCAGGGGAAATTTTCACATTTTCCCCCTTTTCGGGATGAAATTAATGTGACAGAAAGAAAGGCTCATTGCACAGCAGCTAGATAGAGGGATGGCAGGGAGGAGGGTGAGAGGAGGGCAGCAGGGAGAGCCAGGGCACGGAGAAGATGGTTTGGGGGGTGGGGGGTGGGTGCGGGGATGGCATGGGATGAGTGAGAGTGCAGGAAGAGGGGAGGAGAGACGAGAAAAAGAGGGAGAGCAGGGGGCGGAGGGGGGGGGGGTGGGATAGAGAGATGGGCGTGCATGCTAATTTTATCATTCTGCTGATAAACTTTTCCTCCAGTAATCCTCCAGCTGGGACGTGAGAACAGATAGGAGACAGGGATAGGCTCGGGAAGCCTTGGTTTTTATTAAACAGTCATCAGAAATAGAACCCTCTATTCTATTCTATTCTATTCTATTCTATTCTATTCAGTCCAGCTTTCATTCCCTGTTCAGCATGGTCTGGTGCAGAAATTAATAAGGGGTTGAAGTAAGGGGTGGACAGGGTTGTTGTTGGGGTGGGTGGTGTTTAAACATATCCCCCAACACCATCGCCACAACCACCACACTCCTAACCCCCTCCACTGCTAACCATCACTTCACTAAATGTCCGTCTGCTCCTCCTCGCATCTGTTTATTTTCCTCCAATTTGTCCCTCTAACACACATGCACACAGAGGCACACACATGCATTTGCTCCATGTCCTCTGGAATCAATAGCCAATCAAAGCAATCATTGCCTTTATAGTCTGTCTAACAGACAAAAGCAATCGCACACATGCTTGCTACACACTCACACACATCCGCGGCCATGCACCGACCCCAGATTACACACTCCATCTCACTTCTAGTTTAACAAGGCCCATTGAGGATTATAGATACATAATGCCATGTGTACAGATTAGGTGTGACAATAAACTACTGACAGCCAAAGTAAGCCCTGCCTTCTGTATGGCTATGTGCTGGAGTGTGTGCGTGTGCCCACTAATACTGTACTGGCATGCATGAATAAACATGATGTGTAACAGGGCTGAATTGGAATGACGTCTCAGCAGAGAGAAACAGAGATAGTGTGTGTGTGTGTGTGAGTGTTTGTGCGTATGCGTAAGTGTGATCAGTTACAGAGCAGATGAGGAGGAGACCTCAGTTCCCGCATCGCATCATTCTGCCAGAAGGCTTTTATGCTTGCTCCCAGAGTCACCCTGTGCTACAGACAAATGTGCGGGTGGCACTTAAACACCCTCACAGACAGACATGCACACACAAACTGCGCCAAGAGTGTTTGTGTGACTCTTACTGTTGGCGTCAGTGTCGTCACTCTTGGGAGGGGTGTGTCCAGTGTAGCCAACAGCAATCCTGACCATCCGCTCTGGATTTCTTATCTTCTTCAGTCCTACAAAAAGAGAAAAAGAAGAAGAAGAAAAAAAAACAGGGACATATTTAGGAGACACTTCAGGCTTTGGTTTCCTTGGCTGTCGTACACCTCACCTCAATCTTTCTCCTCTAAAGCCCAGAAACAAAACTCCAAGTGATATGCATGTGGGCTGATCCATTTTCTGATCCACTAACTTGCATCCATCGTGTCCCCTGATCGATTGGCCACAGAAGATACACTGCCTCTGTGTGTGTGACTAACTTGTTCCCAGCTTTAGTTTCTCTTCACTCTCATCATTTCTCTGTTTCCCTGACCACTGTTGCTATGATACAAAGTAGACCAACCAGCACAGAGGGAGATGGTCTTCCAGGCTATATGGTGGATGTTGTTCTGATGCCCACTGGTGCCATCCACATCTACCAGGCAGGGGGAAGAGTGGAAGGCTGTCTCATGCCTTCGTCGCCACAATTCATTTGGCTTTCATTCAGCAAGGCTCAGGCTTTTAAATCATTATGCCCAGACTACACGCAACACTGAAGGGGCAATGGATAAAACTCCAACACACTGTGAATCTGTTTGCGTGAGTAGGTATGGTACAGTATCGGCAGGGGGGAAGGTTTAATATTTATGTGGTACACTGCCTGCTGATCTGCCCATGGGCCTTTTGTCTCATCAACAGTTCTAGTCTTTTCACGCAACGGGACTCTCAACCCACGGCCTTCCTTTCGCCTTTGGCAACACTCTGCATGCTTGCTTGCACGCATGCATGTATGTATATGCGTGCCTGACTTTAAGTGCTGTACACACGATGTACTGCAGAAATGCATGACGGTAGTTCAAGTGTTGCCAAAAATTGCCCCTTTGAGAAATCTTGCTTAGTGTTGCTCCCTAGTGGAGAGAGTGCTGAAAGCTCTCGCTGACAATTTTACTACACCTTTGATTATTTAAACCCCCCCCCCAAAAAAGAGTTTTCCATTAATTAATTAATTAATTTTAATTACTAAGGAACTGTGGTGTCTGTAACAAGGGTTCTCAAACTTTTTGAGGCAAGGGAGAAGATATTCTCAGGACTGCCTCACAAAAACTAAAAACAATTTAGATGGTTTAGGTGTAGCATCACTTTTCAGAGCGCGCTGATAATGAAAGGTATGCAACAGCAAGAACTGTCTGTTAGACACTGAGAGAAATGACTGATTTCATGACAGATTGACAGGATGTGTCACAGCCATATCAGGGTTTATATTGGGCCAACACAAAGGGAGGGAGTAATGTACACAATATGCTTGTTTTATTGGCATAAATGGTCCCCCATCTGTGTATATATATATATATCCACTTTTTAGTGAAACAACACAATTTTATGATCTACTATAAATTAATTTGGGACACCTGAGGGGGACAGACCCCGTTTAGAGAGCCATTGATCATTTACAACACAGTCTGCTGCTAAGTTTGCTGCCCTCTTTTGTAAATTTAACCCTTCGTGGCATCAGCAGTGCTTTAAAGACACAAAACGAAAGAGGCGCTGTGAACAGAGTAACAACCAGGGGGTATTTATAAAGAAATGTCAAACACCACGAGTAAAGAACTCACAAGTTGACACAGAGATAACATTGCAACCCTTAAATAATTCATGAATGAATAAATAGTAGTCTGAATGAAATGGTGACTGTGTGTGAGAGATGATAACGACCTCAAGAGTTTACTTAAGGGAGTAAAAACACAAACAAACAACGACCACAAATGGGGGGGACTGGAATCATTATGACCTAAAACTGACACACATACACACCAACCCCTCCCAAACCTATATGCAGCCAAATTCTCACCTTCAGCGCCTTAGCAACCATAAGGACACATTAACACTGAAGGAACAAAACACACACGCACACACACCGAAACACACACCGATTGTGATTAAATAAATACACAGCTGGTCGGGGAGGTTGCGTGCCTGTCAGGAAAGAAATTAGCAATTCAGTGGTCTACTTTATGCTTAAAGAGAGACACGGACACACACACACACACAGAGCAGCATCTGAATTCCTTCAGCGTGAACCACTCTTCTCTTTTCCTCTCATCCTCCATCCCCTTAATGCTAAATGCTTAAAAAGCATTCATAAGCCAGCTACTCGAGGGGGAAACGCTGGCAAGCATCGGACGGTGAAAAACTACCGTATCCCGAATCAGCCAGAGCCCACCGACAGGACAACTCTCCTCCTGTTATTTATTTGCTTTCGGTTAACCGTGCTCTACACAGTCGCTGGTTCAGCACCAGCCTCGGTGTTTTCGGGACGGGCTAAAGGAGAGGGAAAGCCCCGCCGCTATCTCTGCCCTCCTCTATCCCTCCGTCCCTTCATAGCCTCGCATGAAACCCGAAGAGCGGGACTCCAGCACCTTAAATAAAAACCGTTATTTCTCTCTTACCTTCCGGCTTGTTTTCGGCAGCCATTTCCCCTCCGCCGCGCGCCTCATCCCTCCTCCTCCTCCTCTTCCTCCTCCTCCTCCTCCTCGACTCGACCTAGTGGTAGTGGGAGGGGGGGGTGGTGATGGTGGTGGTGCCGGTGAGGGGGGTGGGGGGGAGGACCACGCGCGTGCACAAGGAGGACAGCTCAAGGAGGGGGGCGGGGCTGAGAAGAAGGGGTGGGGAGGGTGAGCCTGCCGCGTTCAGCGCGACTATTGGTCCAAACAGAGAGGACTGACAACGGGGATCCGTGATGGTGACTCGCGGAATTCACCATCCCTCCGCTTGTTCCCCTTGACCACGCCCCCTCCTCGCCGTTCACGCGCACTCTTTCTCTCTCTCTCTCTCTCCCTCTTACCCCTCTCACGTCACTGAACGACGTCTGTATTCGAGGACACCTTGACAGCCTCCCACAGCATCATCATCATGCTCATCATCATCTTCTCTCCCTCACACACACACGCGCACACACACACTCGCACGCGCACAACAGGCCTACACACATATACGTTACGCGCGCACAGAAACTCTCGCTAGCGAGCGCGCGCTCATTTCTTCACACGCAAACCCAGTGGACTGTTGAGAAAATGCGATGTAAGGTCGCGTCTCGCCATAAATTATGAACCCCTCTTGAATCTAAATGAAAAGAACTGCCTGAAAGAGAGTTTTTTGACGCGCGTGGGCTGCCGGGTGCTGTCATTCGCCGTGGTGCTGAAGCTCGCGGTGCTGAAAGGACAGCTCCACACGCGCCTACACAGAGCTGCGTGCACTCACTACCTGCTTTCTTTGAGCCATGTTATTAAATGGGAGCCATGGCAGGTCAGATGAAAACTTGTGGGGTGGAAGGAAAAAAAACATGCCCTCCTCCATACTCGTCCTCCTGCTCAGCGTGCGGGATGAAATGTCGCTGCTGGTATCTTTGCGTAAAGTTTAGTTTATAACGAGCCTATCACAATATCCTCACTGACAGGCTATTTATAATTCTGCCGTTTTATGCGATGCTATCCTATTCTAAATAGTAGGGCTTAACTGGGATCATTATGTTCTCGTTTCCAGCCCACACTGTCACTCTGTGCCTCGGGGTAGAATATCGCCTTTGCACCAAAAGCCTTGTGTTTGACAGAGACAATCCTCTCCACAGACACGCTTCACGGAAAACAGAGGTTTTGAATGGTTCGTCCTCGGCTACGTGTGCTTTGCGCAGCCTCGGGGTGCAGAGACACACTAGGTACTCGAGATCAGCGGAATTCAGAGATGGTGAACGACAACGACAAACGTGTAGTGGTGTAATAAGAAAGAAAGCAAATGTTTAATGTTGCATTTATGTTATTTATGTCAGGGTGGAGCTCACTGTTCATACCAACACAGTGTGGCACTTTCTATTCAGCCAACGATGAGATTACTTTTTAAATCAAAAATATATAGTACTTCAAGATTACTGGATACATGAGTAATCACTGGTCCAGTGTTATGGTGAAGAACGGGGGTTTCAAACATATGGCCTGGGGCCTGGAAGCGGCCCACTAGACGGTACAATTTGGCCCACTGGATGACTTTGCAAAGTGTGATGAAGTCATTATTAACTCAGTGTGTTTTTTTCTTTCATGTTGTTCCTTGTGTGATGCCAGCATTATTATACAAGGGTGAAAATGTACAGAAAATTATAAATGTTAGATCCCGGTAGGTTGTTTGGATCATAAAGACATAAAACACTCACAAAAAACTTTTATTTGCCCACAAAAACTCCACATGTGGAGGTTTTGTGAGTTTATAGCCTCACTGTGATCTTTAAATTGTAATGCACATGCAATGACGGTGTAATGACCATGTCAGACTTACTTTTCTTAAGAAATTTCAGACTTTTCACCTTTTTTGTAAAGCAATGGCTGGTTAAATGCGACTTTTAAAAAGAAATGTTTTCAAAGTGTTTTGTAGAGAAATTAACTGGGGTGTTTGTTTTTTCATATGTTATTATGCAAAGGTTTTGGTAGTCCCAGCCTACTTAAGATCAAACTGGGCTGACATAAAATGAATTTGTCAGCCCTGGTTTAGAGAGTGAATCACATGATGGTCTTAGATTTTTTTCATGTAATATCATCTGTTTCATGTTAATATATACTCACTTATTAACATGAGCTAATCCAGGGGGTAAATGTTTTATATATGTTTTAATTGGTGTGTGGAAGTGTATAAGCACTTCTATAAATGAGATGAGAAATAGGTTATCCCATATTTGGGAAATTCTTTTATTGCAACAGTTGAAATTCACAGGGCAAGAGGCGGGGTACAGCCAGAACAGGTAGCCAGTCTGTTACATGGCCAGTTGATCAATAATAATAATAATAATAATAATAATAATAATAATAATAATAATGTGTGGTCTTTCTGGCAGCTGAATCATTCGGTTAAGGATGTTGCTCTGTTGCCTGTCTAGTGAGTGGTGCAGAGGGTGGTTGGGGTTTTTCTGTGATTTTTAGCTTCAAAAATATTCCGGGTTGCAGACAATAACAGAGCCAGCTTTCCTAAACAATTATACAGTCTATCCGTGTCACCAGCTCTGATGCTTCTCATCCAGCAGCAGCACGCTGTGCTCACCACAACTGAGTGAGAAAAAACTCCAAGATTTTGCTGCACACATTGAAGGATCTCAGCTTCCTTCCCAAAACAGAGCCTGAACAGTCTGTGTTGACTTTCCAGTTGAGCTTTTTGTCAATGCAGGTGCCCAGGTACTTGTACTCCTCCACATTAACATCCTGTCCCAGGATAGACACGGGTCGTGTAACTGTCTGTTTCCTTCTTAAATTGATCACCATCTCTCTTCTGAGCTATTAACATTCAGAAAAAGAGGATTCCTGTTAGACCACTCTACAAAACCATCCACTAGCGCTCTGCACTCCTCGTCCTGCCCATCACTAATACATCCAACCACTGCAGAACTGTCAGAGTATTTCTGTAGGTGGCATGACCTGGAGTTGTGCTGAGAGTCTGAGGTGTACAAGGTGAACAGGAATGAAGACAGCACAGTCCCCTGTGGAGCTCCTGTACCGCATATCACCTGATCTCAAAGAGCACTGCACATTTTCACATACTGCAGCTGGTCTTTTTGGTTGTCAGTAATTCATGAGTTGTTGAATGTGTGCATTTACTGACATTTCCTGTAGTCTCTTTCTCAGCAGCAGCAGCTGAATCATGTTAAATGCACTATGGAAATCAAAGAGGGTGATCTTCACCATGTCGCTCTCTGTAGTATGTAGATGACTGCAGATTTAATCTGCATTCAAACTGCAGAGGGTCAAGAGATGTCTTCACCCATGTCTGGGTGATTTGGTTGTAAAATCTGATTCTGGTCTTTTATCTAAGGATAAATGTAGTGGAGTACAGAGTACTCAGTTCTCCTTCTAAATATAGTGTAGAAATATAAGGCTGCAAAATGAAATGTTCAAGGAAAGGAAGTAGTAGACTCAAAGAGGCTATTATTAGCGATGTACAGATTGTGAAATGTTTAAATTACTAGAAGGCCAAGAACCAATGCCAGTAACAAGATTTTATTTACTTATTTGTTTATTTATTTATTATTTCTTCCACTGTACTTCTTTTTCGATAGTACTTAATTTGTTAAACACCCCGAAATCTGTCATAGCCAATCACAGTTGAGTGTTTGGCGCACATTCAAATTGAAGGATGACAAAAAAAAAAGAAAGTCATAAACTGACAACATACATTTTATAAAAAGCCCTTTTCTCCTTGTATGTATACAGCCAGCAGAGGACGACAGAAAGACAGCGGCTCCTCCTGTGACTGACCAATGAGCTCCCAGAACACTGAACGAGTGGGCGGGACCGAACGGGGCCAAACGCAAACATGGCGGCTCCCTTAGATGATGATATTGAGTCTAACAATCAGGACTTCTATTCACTGCTCAACGTTAGGAAAGAGGTAAGGTTAGCTTCGTGTTTATCAGTGATGTCGGACGTCAGCGGACTTTTTACTGTGACCTCTGTGTTGGGTTTTAACGAGAAAGCCTTCTGCAGCCCGTGTGCTCTCATCCTCCACCCGAATAACGCTTCTCCCAGTCGGCACCGTCGTCGTTAGAGGTTGAGACCGGTCGATGCCGCAGATGAGTGTCAGGCAGGCTGTCTATCTACTTTACATGGAAGTAGGCGCTGGCAGAAATGCTACGATCGTCTTGAAGAACATCATCTGATATCTGAGTTTTCCTAAAAACTGGGGCGAATGTGAGCTGTGTGGATTGTACTTGCTCATCTAAGTAACATTAGATAGCATTAGGTACACAGGGGCAGACTCCTTAGCTTAACGCGTAGTGCATTATTACGCTTTTTGTTAATGGCTTTCTAATATAAACGCCTGCTGACTGTTTTTCACTCTTGAATTTGGACGCACTAATGCGGCAGTGGTGTTTCAGCTCTCAATTAACTGATTAGTCAGTTAATTGATTGAACAGACATTAATTCAGGAGGTTGTGGCAATTATTTTCAGGCAAAAAATACCCAACAGTTGCTGTTTTAATCAGTTAAACTAGTCAGTCATTCTCAGGGGTGACGCTTGTCCCGTCTCCTGCCACAGGCCACAGCTGAGGAGCTAAAGGCATCATATCGGAGGCTATGTATGCTCTACCATCCAGACAAACACAGAGACCCAGAGCTGAAAAGACAAGCTGAGCAACTTTTCAACCAGGTTCACCAAGCTTATGAAGGTGAGGAATCTCATAGTTGTGAGGTATTTAGTAGGTATAGTTGAACTTGTGAAATGAATTGTCTGTCTTCGGGATCAGTGGATGTTGACAGTCGAAAATGACATGTAAAACATGTGCATAAACCCCCTTTCCCTCTGCTCAGTGCTGAGTGATGCTCATTCCAGAGCTATCTATGACATCTTTGGGAAGAAAGGGCTGGAGGTGGAAGGCTGGGAGGTATGTTTCCAAACATAATCTACTTTTCTTGCATTTGAGTGGTTTTTCGCTGCTACGTGGTGTGTTTGCGTCACCTGCACTTTGTGATTCTGTGTAGGTGGTGGAGAGGAAGAGGACACCGGCAGAAATTCGAGAGGAATATGAAAGGCTACAGAGAGAGAGAGAGGAGAGGAGACTGCAGCAAAGAACAAACCCTAAGGTTTGCAGCATCATAACAGCACGAAACGGCCCTGTTTCCACTGTGGAGTATTTCCACGTTCATTGCATTATGTCTCGCGCTCTTTTCCTTTTTTCTTAATTAATCCTGTCAATCTGTTTGTCACGGCATCATTATTCAGGGCACCATCAGCGTTGGTGTGGATGCAACGGACCTGTTTGACCGCTATGATGAAGACTTTGAAGAGATGCCAGGAGGAGGCTTTCCTCATATTGAAATCAACAAGATGCATATTTCTCAGTCTATAGAGGTACAACAAACATTCACTTAGCCATTACCGTCCACCCACGTGCTAGCCTGAGCCAAGATCACATCGGTATTCTGTGCTGTCTGTCTTTCTGCAGGCTCCTTTGACGAACTCTGACACAGCAGTGCTGTCTGGTTCGCTCTCCACGCATAATGGGAACGGAGGAGGAAACATTAACATGACCGTGCGCAGGGTTATGTCAGCCAAGGGCTGGGGGGAGGTACGCACAAGCAGACACATTTACAGAGAGAAGCACATTAACGTTTTGTTTTAATGAGGAACTTGTCCATCCATCTCATTATACCTCTGAGGAAGTCTGTGTGTCTATCCAGGTTTTTGGGCACATTGTCTCAGGAATGCTTTAAAGGAATTTAAAAAAAAAATGTAGCACAGATATCCACCTGGATTCGAGGAGAATCTGGGTAGAATTTGGTGGCCAATGATCAAGGTCATTGTGACCTTAAATACATGCACCTTTAAGCTGAAGTGATTGTACAGATATTCCTTAGAAACTTTGATGTAACTTGCACTTTAACTAGTTGGGAATCATACACCTGCAAGCTGGTAATTCTTGCAGACATGATGTATGTAGTGCGTAAGGTGGTAGGTTCAGTTTTCGTAGCCTTCTACAATCTCTTCCTTCCGTGCACTTGCATCTGCATTTGTTGCAGGTGGAGTTTGGTGCGGGAGACATACTGGGACCTCTTATTGGGTTAAAGGTGTTTCGCAATGTCACACCACGGTGGTAAGACCCAACTTTTTGTCAATAATGCGTCAAACTGCAAAACTGCATTCTCCTTTCATATCTCCTTTCTGTATGATTTTTTTTTTCTGTTCAGTTTCATGACAGCCCAGTGCGGTTTACAGTTCTCACCTCGAGGTTTGCGACCGAGTTGTTCTCTGATGACAGCGCGGCACCTGGATCAGAACACCATGGGTTATCTTCAGTGGCGCTGGGGGCCCAACAGCGCCATGACTACCAGCCTCGTCCGAGACACCAAGAGCAGCCACTTTACTCTAGCTCTGCAGGTACATTCAAAGATAAGCATGCACACAAAGGCTGCAGCAGTACTACGTCATTACTTTTATTAATTTGATCATTTTTTTCCTTATTATTTCTATTCTTTATTGCTGTTCTCCTGGCTTTCCAACCTGCATTGTCCAGCTGGGCGTGGCACACTCCTACCTGATGATGAGCTACCAGTACAAGTTCCAGGATGAAGACCAGACCAAAGTTAAAGGATCTGTGAAGTATGTGTGTAAAAAGTGTCCTAAACATGCATACATGCAAAAAATAGTTTGCTGATATTGTGTTTGGGGTCATTGCTCAGTTGCATGTTTGTGCTAATATGCTGTGTTTGGTTTTATCCAAACATACAATGAAAGTTATAGAAATATAATTTTACTTTTTCTTCTTGTTAGCATATTCAATATCATAACAATAGCTTATTCACAGAGCTAATACAGATTAAGACAAAAACTACACAGAATGATTAAAAGCCATGATCTGTATCTCTTGATGTCTTGCATTAATGGAGACATTATTTTAAAATGTCTCCATTAATGTTTCCTCACAACAGTGATCATCACTTATAGTAGCTCTAAAAGTCCAATTGTGGCCATGCTATTCTCTTTACTAGCTGCCTAGTTTCATTTATCTCATGGTCCCTGTTCACTTTTGTGTCCCCGTGTTTCTAGGACAGGCTGGTTTGGCACTGTGGTAGAATATGGAGCAGAGAGAAAGATCAGCCGACACAGTATACTGTCAGCCACTGTCAGCATTGGGGTCCCGCAGGGAGTTACACTCAAGATCAAGTACGGACCATCTACAGTGTGGTCTCACTCTACTGTGTGTCTTTGCCTCACTGCATGATTATCTTATAAGAGTGTGCTTACATTTGGGCTTATGTAGGCTGGCACGTGCAAATCAAACATACCTGTTCCCAGTCCATCTGACTGATCAACTGCTGCCCAGCGCCGTCTTCTATGCCACTGTGGGACCTCTGCTGGTCTACATGGCCGTCCACAGGCTGATCGTTATCCCGTACACACAAGCACAGAAAGAACAGTGAGTAAATGTCCTCTGCCTCAAACAGCATCTCACATTGTCCCAGCAGAAGAAACTCTTGGTTCCAGGCTTGTTCTCAAAAACTCGTAAATAAGAAAAGATAATTTTCTATTAATCATCACCTGGTTCTCCTCTACTTTTCTGTATTTGATCTATGTTTTTTTTTTACACTTAATGAATAGCATGATGGCCAAACTTTGCACATCAGATAAAGGTGATCAACTCTGCTGTAGGGGGGGAAAAAGAGCAGCATTTCTATTGCGGGTGTTGTTAATACTAGAGGGATTTCTTTCATGCTTACACTGTCATCACAGACGCCTCCAATGTGAATCCCAGCGGGTGATTGTTGTCTGTCTCTGTGCCTCTCAGAGAGCTGGAGCTGCAGAGGAAGAGCTCTGCCACAGACATCGCCAAGAAGAAGCAGGAGGCAGAGTCTGCTGTGAGTACTCGCATGCTGAAACACAGTTCTTTGTGTGTGGGGGATAATTGATCATTGTTTCTGAGTTCAGCTCTCCTCATTATGAACTCATGACTGAATCTCGCCAGAAAAGCTCCCTACAATCCTATCCTGATTTTGCTCTCTTTCTAACCCCCCTCTCCCCTCCTGCCTTGCCTATTTTTTTTCTCCCTCGGCTCCTCTGCAGGTTCTGCTGATGCAGGAGTCTGTGAGGAGAATCATAGAAGCAGAAGAATCCAAGATGGGTGAGAGTATACACACACACACACACATGCACACACAATAAAATCATTGCACAGTGTGGAAAAACTGATATTTCTTTAAGTTTGTATCCACTCAAAAGTTGGTAAGAATCCATATAATTGAAACACATGTCAAAGTAGCTCTCACACTACATAATGCACTGTAACTTTAGATCCTGTCTGTCTGACTCCCGTAACGTCATTGCTGTGAAGCCAATCATGATGGACGTATATTACCTTTTAGGCTTGATCATCCTGAATGCTTGGTATGGGAAGTTTGTGTCAGACACCAGCCAGAAGCAGGAGAAAGCCAAGGTCATCGATGTGACCGTGCCTCTACAGTGCCTCGTCAAAGACTCCAAACTCATCCTCACTGAGGCCTCTAAGGTGCGTCAAACCAAACGAAACTTTCTTTCTGCATCTGATGTACATCTGCGCGCATTTCTTTTAAACTGTTTCTCTGTGTGCAGTCAGGGTTGCCCGGTTTCTACGACCCTTGTGTAGGCGAAGAGAAGAGCCTAAAATTACTCTACCAATTCAGGGGTGTCTTGCACCAAGTCATCTCTGCAGACACAGAGTCGCTACGGATACCCAAGCAATGTTAGTATGCGAGACTATTAAGAGTAACATTATTTACCATGTTATTCAACAGCACAGCATCTGCTTGCATCAGTCTTCAGATTATTAGTGTGTTTTTGTCTCATCAGCTCACAGAATTGAGTCCGAGTCCTAGAGGGCAGCGCTGTTGGAGTACGGCGAGGCAAACGGACTGTGTGTGAACAGAAGAACCCAAGAATGGAGGCGGTCACATCGAAAATAAGCTGGCCTCTCTCCTCTGGCCTTCTTCTGTTGTGACGTTAGCAAATCCGATAGTTCCTCCACTCCTCGTGTTTTCCTGTGGGCCAGCAGAATTCAGTCAGCACTGACAAGATGTTGCCCTTTGTGTCCCCACACCTGAGAGAGCTGCTCAAATACCTGCCTTCTGCAGGGGAGAAGACCCTACAACCCTACAGACCTACAACATAGATTTATATATGCACTACACAAGAGGGCCTGATACTCCCTCAGTGATGAGCTAAAAGTGGGGGCTCTACTTTACCCCATATCATTGTAGTCTTTGTCCTATATGTGTATCACATTGATAGTTTTGATCTAATATTGGTATGGCATAGTCATTGCAATAATTCATGTAAATGTTTCTGGTCGCAGATCACGTCTCACTAACCCCGAGGCTAGCTACGACTGAGGAATGACTAAACTCGTATTTTTTTTTAATTTCTCATCATCCGCTCAAAGAAATCATCCTAATTTATTTATGATTTTAGTGCCGCTATCTGCTGCTCACTGCGGTGCCGGTCGGCAGGTGCTAACTGGTGCTCTGAACTTGTATCTGTGAAGGCTGAGATGTGGAAGAAAGGGGAGGGCTTGCTCGGGGAGGGAACGCGGCAGTTGCCCTTTAATGGTAGAGTTCCAACTAAAGAGAGGGAGAGAAGCTCAAATTCCACATATTGATTTTTAATATCTATTCTAGACTGCAATTTAAAGGCAAAAATTAAACTTGGATTTGATTTGCGTCAGTGTTTATTGATTGACTGTGAAGCTGCAGCCAAAACAGAATTTTCTATAAGGACTTTAAATACAGTGAAGGTTATAGTTTGTACTTCTCTGATGTATATCTGGAACAAATCCAGTGGTAGCAGCAAAATACTGACATGGATTTGAAACATTTGAACTTGGATTATTTTGTAATTGGTTGGATGCAAATTGGAGAAGATCAGCACTTTTGCCACATGTAGCTCATTTGCTGCTGATGTAATTCATTGAGCTTAACACGTTGGCTATGAAATCAAGCCCAGCTGCAGTAACAGATCAGATGATTCCCCCTTTACACTCCACAATTGCCATATCTGTAATAGGGCTGTGCATATGCAAGCCACTTTACAACCCACCTCTACCTTTCATGGTTTGTATTGATCTGAATTGATCATTCTTATTCACTATATTGCCAAAAGTATTCGCTTGTCTGGCTTCACACACTTTTGAAAAACCCGTTTTTAATCCACAGAGTTTAATATGATGTTGGTCCACCCTTTGCAGCTATAACCGCTTCAACTCTTCTGGGAAGGCTTTCCACAAGGTTTAAGAGTGTGTTTATGGGAATTTGTACATTTGTGAGGTCAGACATGATGTTGGATGAAAAGGCCTGGCTCACAGTCTCCGCTCAAATTCATCCCAAAGGTGTTCCGTCAGGTTGAGGTCAGGACTCTGTGCAGGCCAGTCAAGTTCTTCCACACCAAACTTGCTCAACCGTGTCTTTATGGACCTTGCCCTCCCCTCCCCACACTGTTCCCACAGAGCCCTCCATCAAACTTTACACTTGGCTTGATGAAGTCAGACAAGTACCGTTTTCCTGGCAACAGCCAAACTCAGACTCGTCCGGTGGATTGCCACATAGAGAAGCCTGATTCATCATTCCAGAGAACACGCCTCCACTGCTTTAGAGTCCAGTGGCAACATACTATACACAACTGCATCTGAAGGTTTGTATTGTACTTGGTGATGTAAGGTTTGGATGCAGTTGCTCTACCATGGAAACGCATTCTGTGAAGCTCTCTACACACTGTTCTCGAGCTAATCTCAAGGTCATGAAATTTGCAGATCTGTAGCGATTAACTCTGCAGAAAGTTGGCCGTCTCTGTGCACTACACACCTCAGCATCTACTGACCCTGCTCTGTGATTTTTATGTAGCCTACCACTTTGTGGCCGAGTTACTGTCATTGCCAAAAGCTTCCACTTTATTATAATAACAACTATGACAGTACCACGCTTGAATTCACTGAGCTTCTGAGAGCGACCTGTTTGTACAAGAAGTCTGTATGCCTAGGTGCTTGATTTTATACGCCTGTGGTCATGGAAGTGATTGGAACACCTAAATTCAATGATTTGAGTGGGTCAGTGAACACTTTTGGCAATATAGTTGTCAATAATATCGACTCCATTTTGTGTCGGGGGTCCTTCTGCTGCTCTCTGAGGAGGAGAGACCGTAGAACAGAGGCACATGTTTCCATTGACTCTAGTGGTTTTGGGCAACTGAACCGTAGCCTCACCAAAACCACAAAGCTATATTATCTGAATTATGTGTTACAGTGTTTTAGTTAGTTTGTCATATTTTAATTTAATACTATTCTCCCTGAAGCTTTCATTGAAAACAAATCAGACTCACACTCATTTTAAACGACACGCCACTCTATAGTTGCAGAGGGCTGTATTACTATCCTTTAGATGATAAAAAGAATATTTTTCTCCCTTATTCACAAAGTTAATTTGGCAGATTTTCACACCACCTCAATTCCTCGGGGAATTCCGACACATTCCCCAAGGGATTTGTCTTCTCTTAGGACTGAACCCGGGATCTTTTGCTTGCAAGGCGAATGTGTTCTGAAGCCACTTTATGTGGTCATACATGCACTAATTCTCCTTGGCTGTTATTTGCTCCTCTTAATGGTGAGTGAAAGGCAAAATATCCTATGATATACTTAACTGTTGAGAAACTGGTAGGTGATGTAGCATAAAAGTCCCAAAGATTTTAAGATTAGTTGCACCCTGCTCCTGTTTATTTTGATCAGACTCCCTGTCCTAAACTGTTATTTATATCAGTAATCACAATAAGCAGGTTCTATAACTACAGCGGGTTGTGTAGAAAATGCACAGCATTTGGAACAAATGTCAGAGGATGATTGTCACCAAACCTCTAACTGTGGTACACTTTTACTAAACTGGAGTTTACATTAAGAAATACTGATTAATGCAGGTGACTTCATATGGTGTCCTTTTGATTTTCATTAGTCCATTTCTATGAATAGCATACACATCCAGAAGCTGTGGGTAGGCCTGAAATAATAATAATAATAATGATAACAACAATAATAGGTCAAGCACTGACAGGGTTAGGAGACATCAAGTTTTGGTGTAGAGAAAGGGAGAGCTGTTATACTGCTCTTTGGTTGGGATTAATCTTCCAGCATCCATTTTGCACTAATTGTTTGTAGTATTTGTCTTATGTTGTTTTAAGTGTGATGTAAAGGTTTCTTGGTCAAGTCATCTGTCACCTCTGCTCTGGTGCCACCCTGAGGCCTGCAGAAAGAGTGCTCCCTGCTGTTACATTCCAACCCATCATCCAAACTGACTGGCCGTAGTATTTAAATGTTATGAATGGTTTCAGGAGCCCGTTTTTGTGTCCTGTAAAGACAATAAACATGATTGAAAGATGTTTGGCATTTGATTACACCCTCCAGAGTCACAGAATACACTGAAGTTTTACACCTCACCCTGCCAAAAAGAAGAAAAAAAATCAAGTTAAAATGGTAACTCTTTATTTACAGTAGTTTACAATAGTTTCACAGAAACAGTGTGCACCACAGAACAAACAACGCTTTCTCAGTAAGAGGATAGAACAACCCAGGTTCAGATTAAACAAGCTGTATCACAATGAGTTTTCCGCCCCCCCCCCCTCCAACATTAATTTACACTAATGTCTTTAAGACGCACACTCAAAATTATGAGCTTGTGTCTGAAGGCGTCTTCAGATTCTCTTCAAGACAAGCATGTCCTGAGAAACAGCAAAAGTGATTTTAGTTCTTCAAATGTCTTAAAAACATAACTTAGGCGACTGCTGGGTACAAACCAGTTAACCCACATTTGTAAATACCAGGAGAGTGCACAGATGAGTTTAATCGTTCAAACTCTTGGAAATTCTTGTTCTTTACACAAACCCTCCCCAAACAAACATTCTTCGTCTGTTTTAGTCGTTCCCTGGTCAACTCTTTGATTCTGCATTGTAAAACCCCATCACGGACAAGTATCCAAGAATCTGAGTCTAAAATCTGTCACTCTACAGTATGGCTTTTATGCATTTATTTATATATTTATATATATATATGTTCAGAAACACACAAGTCCCAACAGCAGATGGCACATGAATAACAAAGCTTAAAGTTTTTTTAATCCAAATGGGAGCAAGTTTTCCATCAATGGTACTCCACATAGAACCGAATACTGCAATGCAAATGTTAACGGGAGGCGATTACTCACTGAGATCTGACCTTCCAGAGACAAACCACCACTACCATGGTACTAGGGGTGCACTGATTTGAAAATTCCGAATCAATACAGAATAAAAATTTGACTTCCATTTTTTTAATGTTTATTATTATTATTATTATTATTATTATTGAGCATTACTCACTTTGGGCCAGGGTGACAAATGAATCCTTATAACAGGGGAAGAAGAAAAAAAAAAAATCTGTATGCTACATGTCAGACGGCAAGTGTAGACAACAGCCCCGATTCTCACAACGTTGTGCAGAGTTAAAAGTGTAAAAACAACTCAACAGGGTCAACATGGGCCAGTACTGGTGCTTTGCTGACACATCAGTGCATCCCTACTTGGTGCTTTGCAAAAAACTTGAACACCCCCACCCCCCCCCCCCAAAAAAAAAAAAAAAACAAAACATGGAGATTGGTTCAGACAACTCATAGCAGCAGATGCATCGCCAACACCCTTATTTAAACGCTTGCGTGCATAATTTCAACCAGAAATCTTCATTGAAAACTGAAGATTTCTGGTCTGACACCATTCCAGTTAAAGATACGTTTTTTTTTCACCTGTCAGTACTGCAAACAGGACTGTGGTTCCCTTCTATAAATATATTTGTCTCTGAAAACTTAGTCAAGCGCATCAAGTGGTTAACTAAAATCATACTGACCAGAGATAACAGGATACACTGAAAACCTGACTGTTGTCATTTGCCGAACTTTTCTTTTTTTTCTAAACTGTTATATAACAATTTCTTTATTAAGAACAAATGTGGTCAGCGAAGAACACTGTTTAAACACGTTGAGAAACAAAGTGTGAAAGCTTCTGTGTATGGCTGAGTAACGTGTTGATTCAGAGGAATATCAGTGTCTGGAAGACAAGATCTTGGTTCAGCTGTATGAGCTAATGGCCTCAATGATATTCTTGAAAATGTCTTAAACAAGAAAAGCAGAACAACAAACTGATGAAGCAGATGCAGACTCTAGCCTCTTATCCTACATCTTTGTTCTATTCGATTATACCTCAGCTTAATACTATAGCACCATCTGAAGCAATTGACTCAAGCCTCAACTTGTTTTCCTGTTTTAAATGGTTAATTATGTAACATCAATAGAGGCATCATAGAGAAATTAAATCCAGTTTAACCAGATCAGAAAGACACACTCGTCTCTGAAAGAAAGGTTAGGTGGATTTTTTTTTAAAAAAAAGTGCAAACCATTTTTCCCACAAATCCCAGCATGCACCATAGTGGGTGGCAGTTGTGAGAATATTCTCTCAATATGGCAGTTCAAAATGCTTCCAGTGTTCACGAGACACCAAGCCCCAAAAGTAGCAGTTTGTTGCTATGCTAATGTCATCTACAGACAGACATCCATTCAGTGATTGCCTTACGCGCAGAGTCTGTAGGAAGCAGAAACAAACCTTAGTAAATCTAAAATAGCACTCAAATTGTTCTCAAATGGGATAAGGGCTCGGGATAGGTCCACTAAAATATTTGTAGAAAATATGGGTTCATGGTTGAACCTTGAAGGAGAGAGACTGAAGGGTGCAAGACCTGAATCTGAGGAGGAGGGGCCAGTCCAGTAGAGGGTTAAAGTAGGAGCGGTACGGGTCAGAGTTCTGGATGTGGCCTGGGGTCAGTCCAGCATGTGTTTTCGTGGGCCTACACGCGAGCGGTGGGAACGTCGAGTGTCTGGGGGTCCGTGTGTCTCTCGGCAGCTTTGGCACACGTATGTCTCTGGCACGTGACTCTTGCGGATCTTAGCGCACGACAGGTGGATCCAGGTGTTGCACTTGTTACATTCGATCATGGCGCGTCCTGCGAAAGGCTTCATGCAGAAACATGTCACCAGGTCCCACGAGTCATCATCTGAAAAGAAAGGAGACAGAATACACTGAGCTTCCACTTTATTCATTCATCAGTTTTTTTTAAAACATTTAAGCATTTCTGACCCGAAAATCTCTTACCAGAGTCTACCATTATATCCTCATCCTCCCCTGAGCCATCTTCGTCTCGGAACACCACCTGCTTCCCCTGGCGGAACACCGTTCTGTTTCCTGAAAAGCCCTCCACCTTCTGTATCTTTACCACCCCTTCCTCAAGGTCTCGTCCGTCCCAGTATCGACGCTCTTCCTTGGGTTCCTCTTTGCAAGGGGACGGGCTAGGCACGCACTGAGGATGGAGGGGAATGCTGATGTCATCTTCTGGCTCTTCTTTGATTGTTCGGCCGCCAAAGGAAAGCGGGCACTGCAGCTCTGGGACTGCTAAGTGAGCCCCACGTTCTTCAACAGACTGATGCTCCCTCTCCTTCCTCCTCTTCTTCTTCTTCAGCTTGTCAGCTTTCCTGCGATCATCTGGATGCAGGGTAGTGATTGTGTGCTGCAGAGGAGAAAATTTGATATCCATTTGAAAATTATAACAAAACTTTTACCTGGTCAGATTATATAAGGTTGATGATGTGACATAAATCCATCTTACATCTTTCTTGGCGTGGCTGGACAGAATGGATCCTGGCTGTGGACGCTTCCTGCTCCTATCCTGGGGGCCCTTCAGGGGGCGTTGGGGGCAGGAAGATGCTGGTCCTGGGGTCCAGCCATCACTGTCGGCTGTGCTGCCTGTACTGTTCGGGGGGCTTGAGCTACTGCGCAGTGGAGAGTCCTAAAATAATAGATGGAAGTGCAGGGGTTAGTTCACTAACATAAGGAGATGAAGTAGGCTACTAAAAGGTAAAAAATAAATACATTTGCAATCACATGACCATAAAAATAAATCCCTGAAAGGAAAGCGAACGAGTCATCTGTTGATGGTGAAGAAAAGGAAACAAAGTCATCCAACGTTAGTTATGATAAAAGAAACTGCACATAAACCAGAGAGATGTCACATTTTATTTTGGTTTTACAGAAAATAGCACTAATAACAATGCTCTACTTTAGTTGCAGCAGTGGAGAATAACAGAACATTTGATGCTATCAAGGGTGTGTGTCACTTTACAGGATCAACAACAACAAAAAAAAACCATTGTGTAACAAAAGATACACTGTTATCAAAGGATGCAGCTCTACATCCTTTGATAACAGGACATGGCTTCCATGTTCTAGACAGTGGAGCATGTGTTAAAAAACAAAAAAACAAACAAATTGTAATTAGACTAAAATGAATGTTTTCAACAAGTTAAATGCATATAAATGTGAATCAATGACCAGCATGAACAAGGCTACTTTTCATACAACCGATTCAGTTAACCTAGTACATAGTAACATCACAGATGGCTGTATGTGTGGGAGAATTTAAAAAAAAAAAAAATAAGATATATAAAAAAACCCCGACAAGGGCAAAAGAGACCCATGTGTTAAGCCAAGAGTCCATGTAAGTGCAAAAAGAAAAAAAAGAAGAAGATAAAGTTCTTAGTTGAGTATGTGTAAAACTAAAATAAACACAGGCAGAGAAACTATAAAGCCAAAAGAATCTGTTAAAGTAATCCCCCCGTCTGGCCATCTCCTTTTTGGTCCCCAAGATTAGCAGAAGACGATAAAGTCTCATGTCCAATTTAGCGAGTGAATAAAATTCAAGAAGACAATAATAATAATAATAATAATAACAATAACAACAATAATGAGTGGCAGCAGTTGCATTAAGTCATTTTTAACTGAGGTTTAGATTACTTGAAGTTAATCCACAGTGGATATGCAAGATCATCTGTAACTGATCCAAATAGTTTTGTCAAAGAGTAGCTCTGGTTTTAGAATAAAGCTCATGATTAAAACAGCCCCCCCC